GTGGTCAGAGAAGCATGAGAGGAACAAGCAGCATAACCAACATGATTAAGTTTGTGCATCTCTAGGGGCAGAACCATTTACAATCAGGGCAAGGTCGGGATAAGTTAGTGGAGTTTCCTGAAGGTCAGGATGAGGGGAGCAGACCTGTTGGAAAATAGCAACACAGTTATGTCCCTCATCGTCATCTGGTGTGGGGAGGAGAGTGGCAGGGTTAAGAACAGTGCATCTTTTGATGGTGACATTGGGCATATTGAGTAAAACGGTGTTATATCAGAGTCAACGTGCTGTGGAGAGGTGAGATGTTTCTGTTCAAGCTAAATCATTAAGACAATATGAGGAATGAGAAGAGTGACATTGGAATAACCATCTATGTCTCTGGAAGCTAAAATAGCTTTTTCAGCTGCTGCCACTGCCCCTAGACAGCGAGGAAGGCCAGCTGCAATAGGGTCCAGTTTAGCAGAGAAATAGGCAACCGGGTGTTGCTGTCCCCCATGTTCCTGCAAGAGAACAGATGTCATGCATGCATTTTTCTCATCCACAGCCTGTGTGAAAGGTCTTGTCAGGTCTGGTAGTCCCAGTGTAGGTGTAGTCTGCAAGACTAACTTTAAGTCAGTGAAAGCTTGCTCAGTGTCAGAGTCCATGCCACTCTTTCATAAGAATGAAGGCCTTTACCATGAATCAGTGCACTAAATTGAGATTCTAATATGGCATAGTTAGGGATGAAATTCCTACAGAAGGAACACATCCCCAGAAAGGACATCATTTGTTTGTTTTTTGTGAGTGGTTTTGGCAGCTGTTGGATAGCTTCAATTCGTTTGGGCGAGAGGGATTTGCCCTCAGCTGTGATCACATGACTGAGAAACAAAACCTTTGGTTGCACAAACTGCAGTTTGAGACTAGCTTTGTGTCCCTGTTCGGCCAAGTGTTGCAAGAGTTTAATCACATCTTTTTTTTTACGTTATTCTTGGGTGGGGATGCAAATCTTTAAATCATCAACATATTGCAATAGAGTTGTGCCTTTTAGCAAAACATTTGGCTCTAGGCTTAACTGTAGCATTTATTGCTTACAAGTCCTGAAAAAAATTTTCATTCTGTAGGCTGACCTTTATCTCTT